CAAAGTAGTTCAGAATTGCTCGAAAAAGTTCAGATAGAAGCTGCCAGAATTATTACTGGGCTTAGAGTTAATTCATCCAGAACTTGTTTGTATGGTGAACTAGGATGGGAACCATTATATCTTAGAAGAAAAAAACATAAACTTCAATTGATGTATAAAATGATTAATGGTTCTGCACCTGATTATTTGTATGATTTGATTCAATCTTGTTTTCCTGTTCAACATGCTTACAAAAGGTCTTGTAATAACTTATGTATACCAGTTTGTAAAACAATGTCATACTATAATAGTTTTATTCCCTCAACCGTAAAACTTTGGAACAGTCTTAGTGAAGATGATTCCTTTTAGCTATCTTTAAAGCAAAACTTAAGAATTGTGTTAATAAACCTTGTAGGTACTTTAACTTTGAATAAATAAAATATCTTGCATTGTCAGTTGCGAAACAATGCTAGTAATCTTAATGCACATTTAAAAAATCATTTTTTATCAAATATTCAATCATGTCAAAAGTGTGGATTTCATTAAGATACTGAACATTATTTTATCAACTGCCCATCGTATAATGTTGAAAGAAACATATTGGTAAAAAAATTAAATGACATTGATGTTGTTTTTGAACTCGATCTTAAGAGGAAAATCTCAATACTCTTATCAAACAAATGGTAAAATATTTTCATATGTAAAAAAATTTATTAAATCTTCTAAAAGACTAAATTAGGGACACTGTTATATTAAATATTCTATTAAATGCATAATTTTTTTTTCAAATATTTGTTTTATTTTTAAGCTGGAACAGTATGTAAGTAATATGCATACAGTTAGGGGGTTGTCATTTTTTTTAGATATAATACTGATAAATAATACTTGATTGTGAATCTTTATTTTTCATTATAATTTTATTGATTATCATGTTCATGTTATTTCCTACTAATTTGTATCTTGACCAATTATACAAGGAGAGGGTGTACATAGGCATTGCCTGTTGCCCAATCCTGATTGAATTATACTCAATAAAAATATGTTTAAAGTAAAGTACTTGAGGATTTCAAGATCTAACAAGATTGTAGTTTCATTTGTATTTTCAAACTTTAGTCTATATTATCATTATTATTTTAGTTACAGCAGTAAGTTACTTTCAGTCTTTGATTGTTTAAAAATTCTAAATCTATTGTTCTATAGTAATTTTGAGAAGCTGTGTGGCCACGCACTTTGAACAAATTACGCACTTTGAAAAAAATTTTCAAAGTACGTTAAAATTGGGACAAAGTCAACACACTTTGAAAAAAATTTTCAAAGTGCGTTAAATTTGGGACACACTTAACGCATTTTGAAAAAAAATAATTCAAAGTGCGTTAAGAGTGTTCACAAACATTTTTACCATGGGGACATTTAACGCACTTTGAAAAAAATATGTATCAAATAAAAAAAAATCTAGACTTAGATTTTAGTACCGTAATTACGAGAATCAATTTGTAATAATTATATTTTTCGAAAAACTTTTTTAATTTACATGTAATTACTTAACTTCATTAAGAACAAGGAGAAGACGACTGACCAGTTAAACAGTTTATTAACATCTCTTTGATTGTTATTTAACAACATAAAGATCATACATATTATTATAACATTTATACATACATGCGTGAGCATAACATATAACATATATACAAAGTGTACTTATTATCAAGTATTTCCATATATAATAATTGTTTACATTGATGTTAACCTGGAGGTTTGACTCTCTCGTTTACAATTTTAATAAATGAACAAAGTTTACTCAATAGTCCAACATTTTTGGAAGAAAACAATTCATTAAACTTGATAACATTTGGTCTTAAAAAATAATATTTCGGAATATACAATTTTCTTTCATCTTTTAACTTTTCACAGCGTAACTGACGAGTAGAAGGTCTCTCAGCCAACTCTCTCTCTCTCTCTCTCTCTTTTAAACATTGTACATAGCCGTAGGTAGCAAATTGAAAATGTACCACCAAGGTAAGCCCCAATTTTCAATGCCTATATTATGTAAATCTTCGCAAAGCTTTTGTGTGCTTACCTCCCCCCCCCCCACCCGATGCCTATGCTACACCGGGGCCGGTAACGTACTGTTTTTTATTTTACACAATCACTATATATATACAAAAAGGACCCTGTGACCCAAATATATGTATTTTTTTTTAACTGGTATGACTTTGAAAACTTTCGATAAATTTTAGTTTACATTAAATGCATGCAAACTGGAAAAAATTAATTACAGTAAAACATTTAAGAGAGAAAGGATTTTCAAAGTATGCTCACTTTCACATCCTGAAGTGACCCTATCACCGAAAAGTTATTAAACAGGTTCAATTATTTATAAAATACCAAAGATTTGCATACACATTTTTTCAAAGTGCGTTAATATTGTCGATATTACCGCACTTTGAAAAGAAATTTCATTTTTTCAAAGTGCGTTGATTTGGTCCCAAATTTAACGCACTTTGATTTTTTTTCAAACTGCGTAATTTTTCAAAGTGCGTTGTAACAAAGCAGAAATGCTATAAATATATACATAAATAAATAAATAAATATAGTAGAAACTTATTTATATGTAAGGTGTCATGAAATTGAATATCTTTACACTCATTCATTGATATGATCAATTCAACGCGCTGACTAGAAATGGTTCGCGGAACGTATTTTAAGATGCTCAAGTTACATATATAGGATAGAAAGAAATTATGGAATCCTTTTGCATACGCTAAGTCAATGTGAACGAATATCTTTCCGTAATTCTGAATATTTTATAAGCCTATAACCTACTTAAAATTTCACTCTTGGAGTAAATTTTACGGGATAATTCCATTTTAATGCAAGGGATTCTTCAATTTGTGAAAGGGACACAGACCCTTATCTTTCTGACTCTGGAGAATCTAACTGTATCTGTTTGGGACATTACAGATGGCGATTTTCCGTGAGCGTGCTATATAATATTTAGTGATTAACAATCATTTTCATACCGACTGATTTTCCTTTGTGTGATAATCGACCTGGGAACTCTTGTTGTCTGATTCTATTGTAGAACCGTGTAAAGATACTATCAGGAAGCACCTTGCAGTGCGGTTAAGGGAAGAACAATTGAAATAAACGTCCGTATTAAATACTGCCATCTGTTGGAGAGAGAGAGAGAGAGAGAGAGAGAATTCTTGTCAATTCTTTAATTACGCTCCGTTTCAATTCACCAATCTACCCTGCACTCGACTGCTCCCAAACTTAGCTGTCTATCACTTTCTGGAGGGTAAAACACACAGCCATGGACTCGCACGTTTTGGTCATCCGACGGTACGGGTCATAGATCGAAACAGAACGTGACTTTTTGATACCCGTGCCTGGACTCTGGAAATTGACCACATGAGGCCACGAGCTTTTCTCCGGCCAGGTGAAAGGTTAGTGGTCGGCACGTGTCGTTCACTGTTGACCATTTGGTCAGGTAAATCGCCCGTATAATTATGAAGAAAACCAACATTGAGCAGCACTTTAAGAAATAACGGGTTACGTTTATTCTTTATTTAACAGGACTCAGTTTTAGACAACAAAAAATGTCTGCTTAACTGGTACTCAAATATTCATGTCTTTTGATTGAAAAAAAAACACACTCATTACAAAACGAATTTGGCCCACTTGACATAAATCCTAAAAAATGATCTTTTTTAAAAATAAAAATAAAGATTAAAAATTGTGAAATGAATATAAATCAAAGAAGGAGCCTTCCCTTCAGAAGCCCTCTAACTTTCCCCGTTTTTCGCTTGACATGTAACCACGTGACCCCGGCCTCCCGTTAATGGTCAGCAGGTACCCGCAGAGTCCGAGCCCGTGTCAATTTCCTGATCTGGACTTACTGTAATCGGCCATTGTTACTGGGAAAAGTCATCTCCAGGTTATGCCGTTATGATCGACAAATTACGCAACTGATGTCAGATAAACACACCAGTGGACGGTAATACCCAGTTGACATTTATAATTGACTTTTCCTGGATCGTATTAGGCGGTTATTGGAAAGGTGATTTTATAGTAAGTTTCATATCATCGAACTCTGGTAAGGGGAAAATGGAAATATGCCAATTTTTATGAAAGAAATCTAAACAAGTACTAATCTTTATTCCTTATGAAGCTGAACCCTTTCCCATAAGGCCCTAGTTGGAACCAGAACTTCTAGGCGAGTCCTTCGTATATCATCTTCGTTGTCAGAATGTTAGACTATTTTTATCGCACTGGAACACCCCCCCCCCCCTCCTTAAAAAAATTCACAACTTTTTTTTTATTTTAATTTATACGAAGACAATTTTATTCCCAAAAGTGAATTGGAGCTTGCTAATTGTTAAGTTACAAAATCAAAATCTGCTGGAGTGTAATATCGTATTGATAAAATTCTAGGCTGACTATATCACTCTAAATTCCATGCAAATAACACATTATGCTTGATCTTACGTCATCACTTTATGTTAAAAAAAGTAATACATGTATGTAGGAACCACGTAATTAAAATTTATCAACTTTCATAGTTTGCCAAAAAAATAAAATAAAATAAAAATAAAAATATAAGGAAAAAAATGGAAAAGAAAAAAATCAGACAGCATTTCAACGAACTGGGATATCAATGTTCAATTATACATGTAATTTAATAATAGCTCACTATTTTGGTTCAATATAACTCTTGCTTATTTCTATACCAGTAAGACAGACAGGAGTAGATCACTCTAATTATTGTCAGCGTAATTTCAGTGTAGCGTTTAAAGGAAGATAACTCCAAGAGCACCTGAAACTCGGCATGAGACGGTTTTCTATTTCTTTTTCTCAATAAAAGGCATAATGTTTACAAAAAATAAATTTACCACACTTTAACTTCTTCATGTAGTAATCTTTTTGATTATATTATGAAATTTCTACTATATATACAAATCAAAAAAATGGAATTTGAATAATGTATTATTGCATTATTTCATAAACAAACAACACAATGAAACAATTCAAAAATCAAATTTCTGTTACAAAAAAGTAATGACAAATATTCAAACTTAGGATTTTCCTCTTTTCTTTTAATAAACACATTAAAAATTTAGTAATCTGCATGGATAATCATATCTTGTTTTCAGCATTCATTTGAGAACACTGTATGTAAATAATAATCTTAAGTAGTCAAGGTTGAGAGAACATCACAACGGTTTAATTCCTTTACATATTTACGATTTTAATCTTCGCAAAAATAAAAATTGCAACGTTTATCACTTTTACACATTTCACAAAAGTTTTGACAAAATAGCAAACAAACACAAGTATATCAAATACATTCAACAAGAAATGTGCTTTTCGTTAAGATCCACGAACATTATAATGCAGTGATGATATGACTTTTATATACACAGGTTTATAAGTATATCACAGATTTCATTAGCAAGACTGCGATCAATGGGTAGCTGATCGACTTCCGGTTCCGAAAGGTGACGGTTTTTGCCGAAGCCACGGGGTGTTACGACGATACCCGAACTTTCCGTTGTAACCAATCACGGGCTGGACTCCTTGCATGAACTGGGCGTGGCCGTCCGTAGTCTCTCCCGAATGACCTACGAAATGCAAACCCTCTGTTAGATTTGTTCATTATTGTAAGAAAAACAACTGAGAAGCATGTACTTCCCTTCTTCTGAGAGAGAGAGAGAGAGAGAGAGAGAGAGAGAGAGAGAGAGAGAGAGAGAGAGAGAGAGAGAGAGAGAGAGAGAGAGAGAGAGAGAGAGAGAGAGAGACTTACCAGCACCAAATTGGTTCCTGAGTGAAAGGTACTGAAATCCTGTGCCCTTTTCGTGGAAGTAGTCGGCTACTGGTCCCTCAATGGAGGTACCACCCTCGTTCTGAAATACAGAGAGAAAGATTTCATGTTAACCCGTCACGATGAGTTACTAGTACTTCAAGTAGATATAATATACAAGAAATGCAAAATGGAAGAGCTCCGACGGAGAGGAAGAATTTAAAATCCAATATGTATGCCGGGGATTTTGTGTGGAGATGGTTACTCATTTGGTGACAATCTAATCTTTTTTTGGCTTTTAATTGGAATACAGACAACGTATGAAAAACTAAAAAAATGATGTTTTTAGATAGTCTATTTTCAAACGTAACAGAAAAACAATCTAGCTTTATGAAATGAGAACTGCAATTCGAATTCATAGTAGATATTTCAATATACATGTACACATAATCATATCAAAATGATTTCTTTTCTTTATCAGATATGCTTTGGTTTTACCTCTTGGTATTGCACGCCTGTCATATTTTTGGTTGCATATTTGATAAAGCAGGACAGATTTAAAGATTTAAATTTTATTATTGAAACTATAATTTTGAAAGGTGTGACAGAAAAAAAACCAGTAAACCAAACACACAAACCAAACTAAAGAGTTACGAAGTGGACATCCGCCATGAAGACAAAGATTAAGTGATAAAAAAGACATCAAAAATTTTTTAAAACTTGAAACTTTTAATTTCACTAAAGTTTGTACAATAAAAGTTTAACAATTGAAAAAAATTAACACATGAACAGCTAACATAATGAACCTGGTGAGCATATACTCCCTGCGTGGAAACACAAGTACACTCCCTTTAATTTCAGACTGTTTAAATGTAGAAATAGATTTTCAAAATTGATTTAACAGCCGAACAAACTGCACATATTTAAGCTGAACTTAAGCTTCTTTCATATTATTTGTTAAAATCTATAGAATTCCTGCGGAGTTTGGTCTGATGTCGTATCGATTAATGTAAACGTTTCTGTAGTTCTCAATGTAGACGTAAAATAGGTGAAAAGAAAGACAGTCAGACCTAGATTGACTGCACCGTGTAACATCTCCCCATCCGATCATTGATCTCAGTAGATAGTCGATCTGTGGTCAAGAGAGAGGGTAGGGAGAGGCTCAGAGATAATACAAGGGATATTATAATAGGATGTGTTCTTCAAAGACCTATCTCATCATAACAATGGAAAAGAGGAAATTGTCAGGCTGCATTCAAAGCACAGCTAGCAGTTTGAAGCACAAGGAAATACACATACCCCTTCCCCCTTAAAACATGCACATAATTCCTCATTCTAGCTACCATTATTTATGTTTTGTTTTTTTTAAAATACAAAATAGTGAATAAAATGACTGTGTCCATGTTTTGCTCTGGAAAATCCAAAATATATGTCTCAAAAAGTAAATAGAAAAAAAAATGTAATAAAGATGCTTAAATTTCATGTTAAGTTTTATAAAAATTTAAAAATCAATGCATTTCCAATGGTTCTCTTTATTTTGACCATAATCTGTGTCAACGATTGATCGAAGTTTTTATCACCTTACAGGTCTGAATACCCGGGAACACCTTATCACTTTATCCTTTATGACATGTAAGTTGTGTATCATTTTCGTTTGATTGACTCTGAAGGTATTTTATCACTCAATACACAGCTACAGCCTTTATTTTCTTTATATTCTTCCTCACGTAGTACTTGAACTGGAATGGGATATTCGTCCCTCAATATTTAAATACATGAACCCCCTACTGGTTTATAAAGTATTTGAATTGATTTACAACAGGTAAAATGAAATGTTAATCTTATAGAATGTCAAAAGAAGTTCGAAGTGAACAAACGTTCGAGTTGTTGAAAACTGAACAAAAGATAATATAGAAACATAGCATTTTAACACTTTTGAAGAACTTACCACATGCAATTAATAGAAATGAAGACATATGGCGATTGTCATAGTAATAAAATCGCATTGTTTTTTCTCTCGTTTTGCGGACCTAGAAGAGCACACTCTCATAAAGTATAGTACACTCTCTCATAATTACTGTTAAATTGTAAAGTTCGCCTTAATGTGTAATGAATGAAAAGGTTATCATTGCTAAATTAAAAGTTGTATAGAAACAGTGAAGAGCTTACATATATATATCAGAAAAAAATAAAAGCAGATGCCGTTCTCTTACCTGAGCTGTTTTTTCAAGTGTCTCATTAACTCCAATGAACTCGAAGTACTCATCCACATGTTTGTCTTTCTGTGAGTTATAGGGGGGAATAACGGGTCCTAGTTTAGGGTTAGTCTTGGAGTAGTCGTTAGAAATACTGCTGACAGCGCCACAGTCCAGAACAAAACCCTTCTCCTTCTCTAACTGAGCGTCAGGGGGTGGAGTGGGAGGGGTGCGGTAAATTTTGTTCTCACGACCCTTCTCTGAAGCAGAACTGGACGGCATGGCTTTGACCTGTGGAGTATGTTAGGTGTGTTTCATAAAGGTGTTTTATACAGGTAATAATCCCAAGATATCGCCACCAAGACGATCAATCTGTGCTATATAACGCAGATAAAGGATCGATATGTCATAAGCCTGGCAAAAACATTAATATTTCATAAACTCTTTTCAGCAACTCAGTTATTACAGAAGCTTTTGTTTGGATTTCCATTAAACTATTTATTTACAAAAAATCCGAATTTCCTTAATAAAATATGTAGCTTCACTTACCTTGGTTGCTAAGTGTGCAAAGTCTCGGGGATCGAGGGTTCGAGACGAGAGACTTCCAATCAAAATAATTCTTTTTAAATTTAGTTAAAGTTTGATATAGATCATCTGCGTTTAAATCCTACTGATTGGGGCCTCTTTAAGGGGGTTTAAACTGTTGAGAGAATCGATACACCTGACATATTAACGGATTAAAGAGCAACCAGACGAAGAAACGTAATGTTCTTTTTCTTTCTTCCCTTTAAATCCATTCATTATATATATACAAGTATATAGACATAGGTTTTCTATACATTTAAATCTCGCCTATCACAATAAAATTTAGCATAAGACAGAACCTATATTACTGAAATTATTCAATTTTCCTCAGGTTGAAAGTATATTTGTACTGGTATTCAGTTACATCATTAGAACTTTCCGTGCCGATATTTGAATCAAAACATATAGTGCTGACTGTTAAGGTGGGTAACAAATTAACAATTCATGTTTGATACATGTCTGAAGGAATATATGTAATATCAGTTTATTTATAATTTTAAACTTTTAAAAATCACACAATTCATTCATTCTTTATTTCCTCATAAAACATTAAAATAACCGTTTATTTGCTTGTCCCATTTAGAAATTGTTCCTATTTAGTCGATGTAGAACAGTAAACTTGAACCTGTACTCGGTTCATACGGCTTTTGAGAAGTAAGAGTTCTACCTCACGCGATCTCGCTTTATACAATTTCATCCGCAGGACCGGTCTGTACGTTGCAGAGTGGAATAAATCTTTCATTTTAAAAGATGCATTACCACTGCGCCAAGAAAGCGACCAAAAATAACTAATTTTACCTTTAATTCACCAAATTAGTACAACGAAAACTGAAACGATATCTGAAATACTCTTGTTTCTTGTTATACCCCCGCTTGAAAAGCAGGAGGGTATATAGTATTGGGATGTCCAGCCGTCTGTTACGCTTTGGGGTACCCATGTCTTATCCGCAACTTCTCTCATACCACTGAAGGAAATTTAATGAAACTTTCACAGAATGTTTATTACATATTGCCATTGTGCACCTCCTATTTTACCTTTTGATCCGACACATATTTTGGATTTTCCAGAGCAAAACATGGATACTGCCATTATATTCATATGGGAGGCGGGGGGTATTATTTGGTGAGCTCATTGCTCACAGTACCTCTAGTTTTATTTGAACATATATAAATGTGGGTAACCTTTTTGACAAAATATAAAAAGCCTTTGAGCTTTGGCTGTGAAGTTTTAGGGCCTTTTAGTCCTAGCTGCAGATCTGTATAGCGTTATGGTTTTATATATTTGTCTTTGAACAGATCTGCAGCTATTTTAGTCCTAGTTGATGTTTTGCAATTAAAGTTCATTACTATTAGTCGGCACCTACCGATTTTTATATCAAAAAGTCTAAAATCATATCAAAATTCATATATGTTCATAGTTTTCAGATGACAATTTTAGCTCTTTGAAAGCTTTGCCATGGATCATGATATCCGTGAACTTAAACAACACCATTGATATATTGTATTAATAGTTTTCAGACATTTAAACGTATTTCTTCCCATTTACTTGGAAGATACAGCTAGAGCTAAGTGAGACGGCCGGCGAGACAGATTGCTGCTGTGACTGCCTTGTTAGTAGACGGCATTAAAACAGACATGTAAAATTTCCTCTCACTATCCATGTCATTTCATGAAGGTATTGTACAATTATTACCTGTAGAATATCCAAACTTAAGTTGACAAAATTGCGAAATTTGATAGGCAAAAGACAATATGAATAGCAAAATTGTAAAAAAAAAAACAAAACAAAACAAAAAAAAAAAAAAAAAAAAAACTAGGAGACTTATTGTTCACAGAACAATATTTTTAAATTTCTTTTTTTATATTTAACTCTCCAAAATTTTAAGGGAAATGGCTTAAAAAAAGAAAATGAAAATTTAAAAAAAAGAAAATTTTTTTGAAATGGACCTTTGACCTTGATCAGATCTTCAAGGTCAAATACTTTTGTTTCTTTTAGTTTTATTATAAGTTTAAATATTAAGTGCAAAGAAGTTAAAGGGCAATAACTCATATAAAGGGTCATTAAATCCTTTAGTACTTATACAATGAAGGTGTGCCTAAAGACCCTTAAGACATTATTGAAGAGTTCATGCCTCTACGGTCTACATTTTTGAAGTTGTAGCGATAACAATGTTTTTCGCATAAGGGGCAATGACTTTTGATAGGGTCAATCTTGGGGAACAAAAATGAAATCTTTGAAATAGTTTTAAGAGTACATATTAATGATGCAGAGACTGTTTGCATATGTTAAAAGACAAAAGAGATATAAAAAGAGCTTAATTTCTAATTTTTGGAATCACCTTTGATCAAAAAATATTCATATATATTTATAGTTTTCAAGATACAAGGTTTAATAGTAAGTATAAAGAAGTTAAAGGGCAATAACTCATATAAGGGGTCATCAGATTCTTTGCACTTATACAGTGAAGTTAGGTCTAAAGACCCTTAAGATATTAGTGAAGGTTTGGTGTAGCTAACAGTTTCGGAGGAGTAGCCAAGGTTTTTCGATATATTGTAACTTTTAAAAGGTTTTATCTTAGACATTCTTTGAAACAGTTTTAAAGTACATATAAATGATACATTGACATTAAGTATATGTTGAAAGACAAAAGAGATACAAAAAAGCTAATTTTCTCATTTTTGTGACCTTGACCTTTGACCTTTACATGAATTTTAAGGTCAAAGGTCAATGAATCTTATGCAGTTGGTCTGCTGTGCTTTGAAATTTTTTAATTATTTGTAAAATTCAAAAAGTTTCAGGGGCAATAACTCATTGAAGGGGTCACCGAATGCTTTAGCAATGAACAGATTGAAGAGTCTCCTTAATTAGTCAAAGACATTCGTAAAGGTTTCATACCTCTGCGGTTTACGGTTTCTGATGTAACAAGCATTTCTTGTGAAAGGGGCAATAACTTGCGGTCAAGGTTCATTTACGCAGGGTCAACTGCAAACATCTTTTACGGAGTACATTCTTATAGACTATAAATCTTTTCGATAAATCTTGAAACAAAAAATCACACGGCGGAAAAATGATAAAAAAGGAAAAGACAGAAGGATGAATAACAAAATTGTTAGAAAAAAATGATCACCTTAGCACACCAAAGCAGAACAGATTATACTGTTTAATCGAATTCAACTCGTACTGGTCCTCGATTTGTACTGCAAATGGTGTTGATAAAATCGAATTATATTAAATAGTATCGAAATTAATTAACCATTTATAAAATCAATATTATACGGAATTGTATATTTTTTAAAGCTAGGAGATCCAACATTTGTTTTAAAAAATTCAGAGTGTCATTTTTATTATGATTTTTTATAAACCATAATATTAGCTGAAAACCTTGGAAGATTTTAGTAACTATAAACCCCAGCGTAACTTTCTGTTATCATATTGTGAATTGGTTGTCATGGATGTAATGACCCTGTCAAGGCTAAAGAGGACATAGATGCTGAGAGACAAGGGGGGAAGGCAGGGGAAGGGTTGATTGGGGTATAAAGAGGAACGGAAAAAGACCACCCTAGCATTAGAACCCCTGACCCTGGGGCCATGAATTTCACAATTTGGGTAGAAGACTCAATGCTGCATTCTGCTTCTCAGTGAACGAGACATGTCAGCTTGTTGTAATAAATCACTACTAGTCATTGTAAGGGATATTGATCACCAGCCCACAAAAATGGTGAAGGAGGGAAGTGAAAAGGGAACGAATAAATGTCAACTTTGACCTTTCAGCTAGTATTTGGTTTTAGAGTCAATATACGGTCTTGTTTAAGTTCAAGAATACCATGATCTTAAAATTCCATTGCAAAAGCTTACAAAGAGCTAAACTATGAATACAATATACTAATTCTGACATGATTTTTGATATGAAAATCAATAGATGCTGACAAATGGTATGAACTTCAATTGCAAAACATCAACTAGGACTAAAATTATCACAAGTATTTATTTTAAGGTCCTAAAATTTCACAGCAAAAGCTCAAAGGCTTTGTGAGATATTGAACAGAAACAACGTGACATGTACATGTAGACGAACGGCACCTTTGGGAAGTCACAGCAGCAGTTTGTCTCTGTAGAGGCGTCTCGCTTAGGTAGCTCTAACTGTATTTTTTAAGCAAATGGGGAGAAATCCATCCTAACCAAGATCTTGTGAGATTCTTTGAAATTGGCGGGAAATTGAGCGATGGAAGTGTGGTGAGCATACTCTCAAGAGGTAACAACAGAAGCAGACGTAAGCATTTGGGCAGTGACCGTAACAACCAGAATATAGAGTTTTTCACTGGAGTCTCAGACAGCCCATAATTTTTTAATTTCTATAATTTATAATGTATGGAAACAAATCACTTTTGGTTTCGAGTTGAAGATTACAACCTCTAGAGCGTAACGCTGGATATTTTGGATTCTTCGTGTCGAAAGAAATCTTTCGACATTTCCTTGTATCTTTTGTGGGAAAAATGAAGGTTTACAAAATTAAAAGATTCACATTACACCTGAATAAAGTCAAATCCAGATTCTCCTTGCTGGATTTTGTATCGCTGGGGTATTTTTTGCAGTGAAAAATCTAATAGATTTTGCCTAAGAAAGAAGTTCTTTGACCAGTCTTCAAACTTTTCTTTTTCAATTATTTTTACACTTTGTGCAAATTATTATGAATCATTCATTTAAGAAGAAAGCTTCATTTTTTGTGGAATATTTAGCTATGCCGCTGTACTACATAACATTATGATGGGAATAATAGGTTCGGCTAGATACTTGTTTTAACTTTTTCACTGAAACTCAAACTTTTGGAATTATTTCTTTAAAAACTTTCACAGTTCTGAATATTGATTTGCATATAGGTGATAACTTCTGTCCGCTTCAAAAGAATTTCCACCTTATCATTTTAAATCTTGTCTATTTGTAATAACACAAAAGAGAAAACGGAAAAGGAAAAGGCAGAAATTTTCATTCAAAATTACTTCTGTCTTTATAAAATTATCATTTATTTCAATCCAGTTTGAATTACTCTTCATAATGGTGTTATTTTCTTTTAGTCCATAAATCTATAATCCTTTACATGTATTCTACAACCGTTTA